TCTTTATTCAAGCTTTCTCAGATGTTGATCTAGGAGATTGTCAATTATAATGAAAAAACACTACATGTGGATGTGAATTCTAAGATGGGAAGCTTGTGAGTTGGCAATCGAAAAAGAAGACGTGTGTATCAATTTCGACAACTGAGGCTGAATATATTGCTCTTGCGGCTTGTACTTCTCTAGTGATCTGGATCCAAAGTCAATTATGTGACAATGTGATTAACATGAAGAAAGTTCTATTTTACTGTGATTCTCAAAGCGCAATTCATATTGCACTTCGCTACCACATCATAAAAGATCATGTTGAATATGGGAATATTGAAGTACATTTTGTTAAAACAATATATCAAGTTGCTGATATTTTTGACAAAACTAATAGATGAAAAATCATTTTTGAGAATTTTAAAGGGTTTGGGAATGATGGAAGCTTGTTATGTTACTAAATCTAATTAACATTCTCTTAAATTTGATGTGCGAAATTTTTGGACTAACTTTCGTTAATTGACAAATTTTCGTTCAGCGTTTACTGTTCACATTCAGTGTTCGACTAGCTTCTCTTTCGACATTGTCTCTAATTTGTTCATCACAAGTTGACATCTAGTGAATGAGAAGTGTCTGTCAATGGGAAGCGCATATTTTTGGGAAGCGCCTATTTATGGGAAGCGATCATTTATGCAAAATCTATTCGTTTGAGGGAAGAATATACAATGGGAAGCGTTGGTTCGCATACGATATATTTGTTATTATTAACGAATAACCAATGCTGGTGATATCATTTTCTTATTTTTTTGTTTTCTTTATAAAATTCAAAAATCCAAAATGATTTTTTTATTTTTGTCTTTTCTTTATAAAATTTGAAAATCAAAAAAGATTTTCTTACTTTTGTCTTTACTTTATAAAATTCAAAAATCCAAAAAGATATTCTTATTTTTTCTATTTTTTATTAAATTCAAAAATCCAAAAATATTTTTGTTATATTTGAATTTTTTTTCAAAAATCAAAAATGCAAAAATATTTTCCTTCTTTTCATTTGAGAATGGAGAAATTCATTGTAACAATGTGCTCCACTTTTGCATGCCTAAAGTGAAGCTCAAAAGGGAATGGTATGATACGAAACTTTTGTACTAATTAAGTGTCCCTAGAATCGTGTTGCAACATGTTGTCCACGCGTCTCATAGAATCATTGTGTGCGAAGCCTTAATAAAATTTTTCTTACAAAAATTTCTTCCTAAAAGGATGTATTCATAATAGTCGAAGAGCTACCTTTCTCTTCTCAATTTGAGTAAAGAGATAACTGCAAGGTCCTATTGTTCGCAATGGTACAATGATTCTTCGCATCCAATCTTTTTCACCAAAAATTTCTAACACTTGTACACACGATCACACATGCACAAGACGTCTCTGGTCAAAAAACAACAAGGATATAGGTATGTCACAATTATGTGTTTATGATCCTAAATCATTTTTCCATGATGAGGGTAAGAATCAACAAACCACAACTTAATGTATTGATAATGAAAATTTATTGTTAAAGTGATACGAATATAGGGGTAACTTCTTTATGGATTTTCTGATTATGTGAACGAATCGGAAAATATAAACAAGAACAACAACGATAAGAAAATAGCAAAAACGGGTAGATTTGATAGACATCCTAGACCTATAGATTGAATATTGGGTAAAAACAAGTTAAGACCTATTAACTTGAATTCATATCAATAGTTGGAAATCATCCGCCAAATGATATGTGATGACAAGCCAAGACCTACTGACTTGAAATTGATTTGATTCACGAATGAGAAACGTGTCCTAAACAATGACGACAATCAGAATTATATACAGTAATTCCAGAAAGCAAGAACAAACGTTCAAAGTTCAACTTCAAAATGTTCAACGATGGGGCTATTTATAACCTTACAAATTCCTACAAAAAGGAAAGTATCAAATAAAAAGAAACTACCTATTAAATGCTAAAAATAAAATAAAATAAAATCGTTTCTAAAAATAAAGTTGAATCTGGAATATTCGATCAAGAATCTTCTTTTGCAAGTTATCTAGTATGCCCATTGAACCATAGATCACAGCAAGCAACTTTTGCATCCTAGGATCACAACAGGCTTCCGAGATTCCCAGCTGACTTCTGAGTTTTGCATCTAGCTTCTAACAATCACAATCATAATTATTCCGAAGTCGTTCGCATCCAGTACTGTCTTTTGCATTCCATAGCTTTTGCATCCAATCCCAACAACAAAGAACCCATCGAATCAAACACCAAACAACAGCCCATCGAATCACATTCCAAGAGTCTGATTTATATCGTATATCATTTCGAAGTTGTTCACAACCATTTGACTATGAGAGGTTGCGATCAATCGCATCCAGTCACACCCATACACATCCAACTCTTTTTTCACATTCAATAACAATCCAAAGTTGGCATTTGCATCTGAAAACACTGGAGTGCGACTCATTGTGACCATACACACTCAATCGCAACTAGTCGCAAGTAAGGCTTGGAACAAAACTTAAACTCACTTCGGACTTAAAGTTCATCTCAGAATTAGAACTCATTGACAATGAACTCAGATTCGTATCATCAAGATTCTAACGAAACGTTTTTATTTCATTGTACCACTTTCAATGTTTAAAATCTCATTTTCATTTCTTTTACGTGATCTTGATGAAATGTATGAATCCCAAGTCATTTCTTCCCAATGGATCCAGATCTTTGTTTTTTTTATGAAATGAGATTTCTGTATGAAAATATGTCTAACTCCTTCATTTCTTAAAATTGTTCCTAAGCTTACTTGTTCTTGGCTACACTGGTCATACAAGTATCTTCGTACAATGATTTACACTTATGTCAAGTTGCAATTTTATATTAAAATGAAGTTACCTACAAAGATTATTAAAAGAGGACCTTTGTTACAAAGATTCTTGGCTACACTGGTCATACAAGAATATTCGGTTGTAATTCATGGGAACCCACACAAGCAATTTGACATCCCTCTTTATGACGAATGAAGAGTATCTTTGCCTGGGATCTATCTACTTTTATATCAAAGTTTCTTTGATATCACTATAGCCAAAATTTTCTTAATTTGATTCTATCTTTTCTTTTGGCACACTTAAGCACTGAAATCCTTGAGGTTATGGGTATTACCAACTCATACCTAGTTTTGGCTGAGTCTGGAAAATGATTTTACTTACAATTCCCGTAAGTAAATGAGACCTAAGTCCATAAAGACAAATAGTTCTTGGTTCGTAACAAAAAGTGTAACGGTACAATTTTACAGGGAAGGACAAAGTATCTGTTAGATGGGACGTTTCAATACTTTCTCGTGGTTCAAGGCAAAAATTGATTATCATTTTTACACTTGGCAGTTCGGCATGATGACGATTACATAACCCACTTTATATGTGACTTTCTATGATTGGAGCAACGTTTGATTTTGAATTTGACGCTTCTTATTTAAGGATGACGTGATCATTCACTTTCCTTTTTCACGTTCCTGGCATTCACGTAAAAACCCTAAGTTTTCTTTACAATCAAATCCCAAATTCTCTCTTGATTTTTCATAATGGTTACTGGAACAAATCTTGTTGATCAATTCAACCCAACAACAATGAGATCTTTCAACCTACTATGAAGATTCATAGCCACAATATATGGTTCAACGCGTTGATCAAGGATTATCTAGATGAGCTGAAGATGCTTGTTCAGGTGGTGAATGATTCAATTCTCACTCATCGTTAGCTTATTCATTTTTCAAATCTTATGAAATGGTTATCATTGGCTGCTTCTACTTCTTGTACAACAGAACAACTTGACTTGTCATGCTTTAGTTGACATCGAGCAAGAGCAAACAATTAACTAATGATTTGTTTGCCAAAATCTTGAAGTTACTATCTTAAGGTGAGTTCGATGAAGTTGAGAATTAAGAAGTTATTTATATATTTAATGAAATAAGGCATCAGCTAACTCTTTCAGTTATTAGCCATTTAAAGAAATAGAGTCTTCCGGGGGTATGGCGTTTTTTCTTTCGTGTTACTCTTTGTTGTTTAACAGGAAGAAGTTTTGGATTGGATAAGGAGAAACTCATGTTTTATTCGATTATAGTTGGTTTTACAATGGAATAAATATTGATTATGCTCATTGCTCTAGACAGAGTTTGGTAATTCGATTTCTCAATCGAAGTTGACTATAGAAGTGTCTAGTACTCGCTTTTGAACTTTGATTTTAAATGAGGTGTATACTCAAGAAGGTATTCCTTTAACTACTAATGATTATGTTTCCGTATTTGCTCAGATGACAATTCCCAAGTTTTCCCTTGATGATCCAGTAGTATTTCTGGTGGTCAGTCAAATTCTGGATTCAATGCTTAATTTGTTATCTCCTTCCTATAACTTGTTCATCAAATACAAATCTTCAATAGATCTAACTCTAACTGGTATTCTTCTTAAGAAGGTTACTTTAGAAGGTGCAGAGGGCTCTTCCAAACAAGCTCATGGTAAGAAGAATAAAAAACAAACTGTGAAACCTAAATCAAGTGAGGAGGAAGTGTCTCATAACGATGTGTCGAAAGTGTCAGGAAAGGGGGTTCTTAAGAAGAAAAAAAATCTATGTTTGAGAAATCTAAAAGTGTTTGTTCTGAGAAGCAACCTGAGCAGATTCCTGAGAAGGTTACTGAGGAGGTTCTTACTTTAGAGGGTGAAAATCTATTCAATAGGTTGTCTCTACGAAACCTAAGAGAATAAAGCTTAAGGTAACGAAGCGAGGTGTTATGATTAAAGTTGTTTCTACTCCTGATACGATGAAGCAAAAGAAAATGGAAGTAGTATAGAGATTGATGAAGGTTATAGTTGAACCTGACTATGATAGAGAAGCCATAAAAGATGCAATACATGGTTCATTTCATGTTTCACCCAGCAAGGATGCCTCTGTAAAATTGATTTTCGAGGAGACAACTACTCCTGATGTCAATGCGAATATATATGAAATGGACGCAAACATCAATTCTAGTGAACAAACTATTACATCACTCCCTGAGAAGACGAATGTCACACCACCTAAGGTTTTTCATTCCAAGTCCAATATAGAGGAGGATGAAACCTCAAACATCAATGCGAACTTATTTAATAAGGACGTAAATGTTTACATCGGTGATGGGAGCTCAATCACAATTATTGACACTTTCGTTGTTCCTCCAGCTCCACCTATTTCACATGCAAAAAAATCTACCATTACACTTACATCCACTCCAGTTGTATTGCCAACTTATCAAGTAGTGATGAATGAAACCGTTAGATCTTTATTCTCATCTCAATCCATTGAGGCTGAGAAGACTGTTAATGGAGAAGAAGAAGACGAAAATGATGTCATGATTGGATTTCAAGATTTAGAGCTCAATTCATATGAGAATGATGTTCCCGATAATGCCATTATGTCTGGTAAACAATTCAGGATCCTCAATTCCAAAATAAATTCTATTATTCAATTGCTAAATAATAGTTCTAGGAAGTCATATGTTAGTGGGGTTGAGGTTGAATACTTGTTAAAGTCATATAATTCGAGGACTACGACTTTAATTGAAGGTGTTTATAAGAAGCTTGATGAAAATTTGACTCTGCGTCCTAAAATTTTCAATCATAATAATTATGAAGTTACAAGGTGTTGCCAATGAGATATATGAACTCTTTGAGAAGCTTGTGAACTCTTCAAAATAATCAATTGAGTTTAAGCTTACTAAGCTTCATAATATTTTGGATCAAGAGGTTGCAATGTTGGATAAGTATTATGGCTAAATTAAAAGAAGTGTTGAAACTTTGGTTGGAGCTATTCGTATGATGACAAAATATGTTCGAGCATTCAATAAAGTGAAAGGTCTAGTATTCTCAATAGTCATATTAAAGTGATATTGCTAAATAACATATGATACTAATGGGTCACACTAACAACACTTGATACTATTGATTATTTATTAGAAATTGATTTTAATAAATATTCAATAAAACTCTTATAATTAAATTGGAAATTATTTATTTCATGGAAATAATAATTTTCATTAGCAAGTAACATTATATTATTTATATGGTATGAATTAATAAGTCATGCACAACTTTTTGGACTAGTTAGAAACCTTTTGTACAAAGTTTATATTTTATAAACCTTGAATTTATAAAATTTAAACTAACTTTTCTTCTTTTTATATACTTGCGAGATTTGCATGAAAGGAAGAGAAGTATGGCTTTCCAATTTGTTTATTCAAAAGTAATGAAGCATGGGAGACATGTTTATGACATGGGGACATATGTGCTTAAAGTGTTAAGACCTAATGGTTAATACCTTCACTTTTTGCATATAAATAAGAGGCTTGCATTTGGCTAGAATGCTCATCCTTCACTTCTTGCAAGTGGCCGAAATCTCTCCCCTCTCTCCCATTCTCTCTAGTTTTGGTTAGAAAACTTGAATAACACTTGCATCTATATGCCCTCTTTAAGTTCATATTGGTTATGAAATTAAAGCTTAAGGGTTTAAGAGTTTTGGACTAGCATCTACATCAAGTTGAGACATTTTTGGTATCTTAAAGGTTCCACATTCTTCATCAACTTCCAAGCCTCCCAAGAGGAGCTAAATAACTACAAAGGTTGTTATTTATTCATCCTTCATTTGGTTGGTGTTTAATCTTTCTATAACTTGCAAGAAGATCATTGGTGGGCATCAAAATGTTTATGTCATTTCAAAAATTAAATTCTTTCGTTGCCATATCTTTCTTGTTTATGAAACTATTTTTGAACTAAAATGCAACAATTGGTATCATAGCCACCTTGCAAGTTTGGTTAGATTTTTGATTTTTGGAAATCTTAGTTTTTGAAGAATATGGATAACTTATTTTTTATATAAAAATAAGTTCATACATATTTTCTATGATAACTTCTTATGTTAGGTGACAAAAGTTTCATGTATCTTTTGTCATTTAAAGTTGTCTTAGAAAAACAAAGGTTGTTTGATGTGTATATTGATGTATATGATGTGCATAAACTAGCCTAGGACCAATGTCTTGTTATGTTGGTTATTTTTGTTATAAAATGATATGTAATAATTTATTTATTCATATGATATGTAATAATTAAATAGATTAGCTTTTCTTGGTTATTTTTGTAAAGTAATAGATTAGTTTTAGAAATAATTTATTTGTATAAAAATGTAACAATAAATGAAGTTGGAACCATTTTTGAAGACAAAAAGGCAATTTCCAAGTCTAAAAGGTGTGCAGGATTTTTAGTGACATTTTTTGAAAAGTGTCGCTAATGCTGTTTACAAAGGGTTGTTGGATTTTTAGCGATAGTTGCTGAATTTTAGCCTTCAAGAAGTTTTTCCTATCTTTTGCAAGCAATGGGTGTTTACTCAAGTGGGAGCTTCTACAACAACATTACAAGAAGGTTTTTGGTCCCTTTAAATATCCCTTTAGGAATGGACTTGACATCTTTTGTGTTGGCTCACAAAATGTCATTAGTTGGCTATGTTTATGCACATATCTTTTTAATGTATGTTTGTGTTGTTTATTTTATGCAATTATTATGTGTGGTTGATAAATTAGTTTTTCACATGCTAAAATAATTTTGGACAAAAAAACATCACATGGAGTTTGGGTTTTCAAAAGTGGACATAAGATGTAACAAGTTATTATTTTAAAGATAAAACCCGATTTTATAAAATCGTTAATAACAGCAAATTTTGAAATACTCCATTATAATTTTTAAAATGGTGGTTTTTGTAACTTATACAAACTCCAAATATATAAGTAATAAAATGAAGTTTTGTTAAAGATATAAAAGGTTCAAATGCACTCAAAGTTAATACCGGTTATTTATATTGAACTGTGTCAAATTATATAAAAACTAGCTTTTTATATAGAACCTTTAAAAGTGATTTTCTTTTGAAAATTGATAACATGGTTTATTATATGCATGTAATAAACATGATATCGTATGTTTTTAAACTAGAATTATAAAACATATAAAGACCCTTTTTACAAACCTCAAATCTATGCAATCCTTTTGAAGACCACTCGCACATCTCTTGTATGCACTAGTGGGATAAAGGATACCTAACCGCTTAGTGTTATCTTTTGATGGTCAGGGTGTTTTCGCGGTTTCTATAACCAAGTTAAAGGCCGATTACACAAGTAATCCAAATAGGATGATTTGATCGGAAATCTTTTGTGATAAAGGATACCTAAGCAAGAGAGCTCTGAGGTGTAGATGGGATCAAACATGTCTAATTAAATTTGTTATTAGAGATCCCATAAATCTAGGAATTATATAGCAAGATATAATTGATAATCGATATCTACCAGGTTGAATTCAAATGGATGGGATAAAGGATACCTAACCATTTATTTGTTTTGCAACTTGGATCCTAGACTTTGATAATTTATGTTTTTGGAAACTAAAAGTGTATTAATTATTAAAGATTAAATATTGAAAATATTAAATGAATTTTGTTAAAATTTTGTATTTATATAATCCATTCTCATTATTATGAATTGTCATTTTCTTTAATGACTTAATGAAACAATAACATTCACTAGATACAACTTCAATGAATGGGTTCATGTCTTAAGAGACAATCTCGTGAGAGATATGAAATTTTATATACTTAAAGGTCCTAGACCTTGCTTTGAGCAATGAGCCTGAACATGATACCTAGTAAAGGCATCACCGTGATGCTAAAGATGTTTCTAACATCAAGCTAGGAATGGTTATTCATGACTTCTAGGAAGTCTTGGATAATTTAAACATATATTTGATGATATAACAGGTCAAACAATATTCCAATAAATACAGTGATATTTTATTTAAAACTAGTTTAAACATTGGAATAATGCAAGGCTAAAAGAGTCACCTAGTGTGATCTAAGAGGCCCATGTTTTATGGACTGAACAACTTTAAGCCCAAGAAATCTACTAAAGCCCACATAGATGGATCTTGTTTCTTTTGAGAAGAAACTGGGCACTAAAAAGAGAATTTTCTCCTCTTATTAGGAAAGAAAGTCTGGAAGAGACTAGTATTTGTAGTATCTACTAGATAGAACTCATACTTTTTATATAACACTTAGGTACTTGGTACTTAAATGTTAATATAATACTTGTAAATGGCTTGCGCATATTTATTGGAAATAGTAACCAAGCTGAGCACAATCAACTTGGAACTACACTCTAGGAGTTTAGTTTATTATTTATGCTTAGAACATAAATTACTTGAAATGTAAAATAATATTTTTTTGGAACAAAATATGTTTTAATTTAGCATGTCTAAATTTATGCCTCATTTATTTTATTCAAATGTTTGATCATTTACTTAATCGTTTGTCATAACGATTATATTCATATTCTGAAATGATTAACTTCTATTTATCATATTAGATCTCTTAATAGAATTATGAAGTAGATATCAACATTTTATAAATAAAATCAAGTTCTATATACAAGCACTTTTGACTTAAACTTCTTTCAAATCAAATTTATCTTGGACATTGTTATCTTTATCATATAAATGACATTCACATATTCCAACTTCAAGAAAGGGATATTTGAAGGCAAATAATGTAGTTTATTTGACATTTGTGAACCTTATTTATATGTAAAGGATTCCTAATGATATTTTCACTAAGGTGTAGCGAAAATAATTAAGGAAATATACACTTTGATGTATGACTTCCTTTCTAATGAATGTCTAAGATTAAGCACAAGATACCGAATCAACTTTATTAACAACTATAGTAGTTTTAACTATATTTTACGTGGTAAAGCATAATTGTGAAATCTTTGTTGAAGATTTTAAAAGTTGAGATACAAACCGGTACGGACCATCTAAGGCCTTAATGATAATAAAAGATGGATTAAATATTACATGGTATGATTTACTTTCTAATCGGTAGAAATATCCTCCTTTTATTTCCTTGGGATAACACATATAACACTATTAGTTGTACCTTAAGTACAACTACCAACTAATAAGTAGATTAAACATTTTATAAGATTTAGTATGGAAAGGCTCCATCCTCATCTTACTTAATGTTTTATTGATTTAAGGTAGATGTTGGACTAAAGCTTCTAAACCCAAAATCTACTAAATACATATTCGTATAATACTCTAAACGTGGCTTACATTTTTATATGCAAACCCGCCAAGAATAAGTCCTTTTATTCTTGTGAAAGCTAAGTTAGTAGAAAGAAAGCTTCTAATCCCGAAGTAAGTGGGTGGTACATGGAACTTGAAGCAGCTCAAGAACCATAACCTTATGGAGTAATAGTTGTCACTAGTTTTAACAAGGATTGTTAAACTTGAATAATAGTCATTCACAAACACAAATTGTTCGCATTAGTTGTAGAAATTATCTATGACTTGAGAAATGTGGAATCTCTCATTGATGAGTTTTTATTTATGGTTTCTGGAAAATCCATCAAATACCAAGATGATATGTCAGATCTCGAATCAGATAAATGACAAAGATTCATGCACATGAGATGTAATCCATGTATGAGAATCAAGTA